GATATGGTTCTTAAGAGTGGCTGGACGATACACGATGGCAGATGTCATTTCTAGAGCATCGGCATCATCGCAGTACCGCACTCGTACGATGATACAAACGTTTACATAGTGATGATTTTACACAAAGTGGCAAGAAATAATTTCCCACCGAGATCGTAGTTCACTTATTGGATAGATGGAACTAAACTAATTTAAGTTTCAACTTTTATTTTTTTTTAAACCACGAAATGAGGTAAAATTGTCATAGTTGAACAAAGCCCTTTGCCTGAAAGACATTCTTGTAATTTTCGAAGAAAAAAGATTCTTATCGCTTAGTTTTCTGGCAGATAATTAGAATGATCTGGAGGTATAATTTTCCACCGTAAATATGATACAGTTAGTGCTATCACACTCCACGATTGAACGAATATCTCTACAATATTGACTTACCCATTCGCTACGTGGTAACCCTTCATAACCAATTCGCATTACGCCTTTCTCGTCCATCCAGAAAATAAGCTCAACTCCAGCAGAGGACATGAATTTATGCACCGTGTTTTTGTCGAAATACCCAATATCACCACCCCACAGGTATAGGGGTACGTGGTGTAGGAGAAGGAACTGAAAATGAATAGACAAAGGTAAATGTTTTGACCGATTCCAGACAAAAAAGGAAAACATTACACATTAGAAAATACCTTCAGTCGATGCATGAAGACTGGATTAGACCATTTCAGTTGCCTACCTTTTCCAATGCTTCGCCTTTGTACATATTAAGTTCCGATCGATATGGACTGGCACTGCCTGGTTTTGCTCGGGGGTCTTTCCATCCGTCGTCGGTGGTGACCAAGTATAAGTTTTTCGGGGCATTCTTTTGGAAGTGCTTCTCATTCATGCGTGCTTCCACAGTTTTATCGTTGGTTAATCTGTTGTGAATAGAAATCAGTCAAATGTCAATTCCAATTCCATGAACAAAGGTCCATCAGAACTTAATGTTGGCTTTTCCTCCTAGTACTACTGCTGAGTTCCTATAGTCCTATCGGTTTTTGGATGAAATTCAATTTGATTGTCTTCATGCAGTATCGAATCCCGAAGTTGTCAAGTTGTAACGATAATGTGCAGGCCAGTTCGACCAAGAGCACAAGGCAGACGAAACCATTTGTGTCAAACCAAAGCTCAGATTCAACTCCAATCGTGTAGAACATGCTTACACTGGGAAGTGCTCCAAATTGTGGCAAACAATGCGCTTTTTCCATTCACACGTTCCCCCTGTGCTTCTTTATCGTGCCTCTAAAACGTGGTATAACCCTGAAGAATGCACTCCTGTGGTCACACTATTATTAGTGTACACGTTTCAACAGCATGCCCATGTGTGCTTCGGCAGAGTATCAAGTTTACTAAAGTTAATCACTACTTGGGCACTATATGATTATACGATTTAATTGTATTCTGGGATCATATTTAACAAAGACTTAACTTTGAAACAATGACAAATTATAACGAACAGTTCGGGCAAATGTGTGGATGGTATTCCACGAATTTCGGGGGATTCGCTTGATGCGCGCACATTAGCAGTCGCGAAAAGCAAGCAAATGTAAATATGGCCTGTGATTTAGCCCACCACCAAGTGATATTGGCACGATGAACTCACCATCTGACCTGACCGTTTGTTTGATCTTAACACACCTCAGTTGGATGACTTCTACATAATACGATAAACAATCAGAACAGAGATTCAGTTTACATAACCATTAACCTTGCGCTTTTGTGTACCGGTTTTTGTCGCTATCTTTTGGGCACCTACCTAATCGATCGATGATGTAGGAGTAAGCAGAATAAAATATTGAACTGAAAGAGGTATCATTTAATGTTGCCCCCAGACAAGTGACTTCACTAAATAAACATGGGAAGAAACATTTTACAGTTGTTGTGAGAATGGCATAGGAGCAAGGTATCCGGGGATTGCTCTGAACGACCAGAGAAATCTTTATACTTCAATGGTCATCTATCGCCCTCCTAATTTTGGCAGCCCTCAGCCAAGATAAGATATTTGTCCGTCCATGACCTGTCTACCTCACCGAGTGCATGAAACTGCATCCTTTTCGAATGGCGGAGTGACAACTAACAATTCAGGAAAAAACTACAAAACCAAAAGCTAAAAGCTTTGGGGGACAGATATACACGAGCTACAAACCGGTGCTTCGGTTGTTTCTCCTAGTTAAAACTACCGATGTTTTCAGGCTTTGGGGATCGTAATTTCGAGACAAAGTTTCCGATCAGTTTTCCCAAGGTAAAATCTTTTTGTATCGGCTTATAGTCTAAGGTACCCATGACCTCTCGATTCGCGTTATTTCATTGTTGATTTGAGACAAATCAGTTTACATTTACGTAGTCCATTTATCGAACGAAGATCATCATCATCATCATCATCATCATCATCATCATCATCATCATCATCACCGTCATAGTCTATGGATCATTTCCTCAACCCTCATCATAACGCTCATTGGTTGCCTATTGTTCACTAAAATCCTTTAAAATACTGTGGCTGCGTATCAGAAAACCCAGGAATTCAGAAAACCGTGAATAATCTGGCGAAATTGCCCTCGCTTGTCATGTGAATAATGAATGATATTTTGAAAATGCCTAATGAAAACACCATGTCTAACCGTGCTTAACCCAGACTCGATGCTAATGTTATTGAAGATTCTGCATTAGCTGAGTTTCTTTGAAAGTGAAATAGAGAAAAGTACATGGAATGTTACCAATCTAGTTGTTTTTATGCACATGGGCTTATGAAATGGTAATTTGGCTGTTCTTAACGGGCGTGTCGTCACGGTCCAGCCGACAAACCGGAAGCAGCGCATCGTATTGGCTGGTGTTCGCGCGATTTGTACAGTGTCCTTAATGCAGTCGTCATCAGATAAACAACACCTGATCGATGGTCGTATGAGCGTGTTCATGTTACCCAATTGGATTTTGCGAATTATGGTGCAATGGTCACACTTCAATGTACCGATCATTTGAGAATTTGGGAAAGATATTTGTTCCCTGTCATAATAATGATAACTGACTTTTTATTTCCAGTAAATTGATGTGTAATAAAGGTAGAATCAGTATATATGAGGAGGGTCGTCAAACGAGAAGTTATGCGAGACTCGGGGTACGATGGCCGGGTTCGAACATATGAATTAAAGGACAGCGTACGAACAGCCTGAACTGCATTGTCATCTCCATTCAGTAAAGAGTTGAGTTTAGTGCAAAAGACAATCTACGTATCAATGAAAATATTTCACCATCATCGAAAACAATTTGAGATGATCTCATGTCATTTAAATGGGATGGCAATGTTTGTGATAACCGACAATGAGCACTGGACAGCTGTTTCGTTCTGTATGGGACTCATCAGCAGTGCGCACTTTTGTGTCCCTGTCGGAGCTGGGTCTCCCACAGCCAAGATCATCAACAGTGCCTGGTGTCTATGAAAATCCGAATGAGTTTATCCAAACATTCACCAAGTAGACCTCATACCATATTCACGGAGTATTTCATACTTTATTGTAATAAGAGGCCGAGTTTAATTGTCTAAAGTATTCATGCTGAGGAAAGTGTCCCAGATACACTCGATTCAGTTTTCCATTTATGCGACCAGAGATCTTATGCACTTGTTCGCGCTGTTCGTGGCTTAGATTTTTCGGCTCGATCAATGAAGAGCTATAAAGAACGGTATAAATCGATGAAAGTAGTAGCGAACTAAATACACAGATCGCAAACGGAATTTATACATGCATGGATGTGGATAGCACATATGTGGTGATGTTAATCTTGTCCACATAACAAGTCTATCGTACTGGCATCCCTTGTAATCACACAGTGAATGTTGAGCGATCCACCTGATGGCTTTCTTTCGTCTCCACTCATGAGGGAACTCAGATTAAGGAAATCAGTCACACCGAATTAGCCACCATTTGAAACTATTCCTATGTGAGAGAATACGATTTTTTATGTTACGTTGATCGATCACAATTATCTATTCGGCGGTAGAGTGCGTTTGAATGCCGGCAGGGACGCTGGGAACCAGGTTAGATTTACATCGGTAGGCGTGTGGCATGTTTATGACACTATACGGGCAAAAAAAGTATTTTTCGGCTATACATCCAAGCCTCATATGAAAATTTCCTTTTGAAGATATCATAGTCTATCTTACATGGTCTATACTTCAAAGAAAATGTCTCTTCCGAATGACTTAAAGGAAAGCTTTTCCCCCTGTAATCTATAATGGAAGGTTGTTATCACTTAAACTGAAACCTGCTTAAAAAATGTATTTAACTTGTATATCCGAAAACCGCATACGAAAAAACATTTTCAAATTCAGCGTTGTTACCGTAAATGGTTCGAATTGTACAATGATGGTATATCCGGACTACTGGAAATCCATACTTAAAACATTTACTAGTTCAATCGCACCAACAATCAGAAGGGGGGAATGTGTAGAGTGCACATACAAATGCGACAAAGTAAATCATAGTCGTCACCTATAACGTACGTGGTATCCGGCCGTGAAGCAAGAATGTCAGTCAGATTCATCTCGGGAATCACATTGATGCGTGGAGTGAAGTAGATTGAGGCATCTTGCAATTCGAAAGCTCGCATGTTCGGGATCGGCGAATAGTGGAAGTGAAGCTGTCGAGGAGAATGACGCGAGATGGAAAATACTTTAAGCAAAAAAAAACCGGAACGAGAGTGGGCAGGAGGAGGGGGAGATGTTGTGCAAGGCAGAACTACAGACTAATTGCTTGACAAACTAAGGTGATTTTGTGAAAAATTGGAACAATAACTGTGGGTTGATCACCTGAGAAGTCGGTTCCAGTAATATGACCATCGGATGTCAAAAATAACACCAAGTACATGGGACTGAGTGGTTTAAGACTATAGAATAGTGAAGCGGTCAGTCAGGAAACCGTTCCAACGTCGCATGTACGAGGCAGCTCAACCATGGCAACTGTATGATCAAGACAATGTCTTCCAGAACAAGTTTAGACAGTAAACGAAAATCATGAAAATTGATCGATTGCGTTTATCATTGTTAGCTCTGGAAATTTTCGATTACTTAGAACAACGAGAGAAATCTGTGATGACCCCACCCTATTTGTCCGGGAACGATTGTGCTGCATCCACAATTAAACAAACCGCAACTATCAGTGACCGAGTGTTGTCATTGGGTCATTACTTCCCAATCGATGTATCATTTATTTTAGTTTATTCAACACATACAAAGTGCACGAAGCCATGAACGGAAACTTAAAGACATCCATCTGTTTGGAGCTTGCTAGTGGGCCTCACAGAAGGACTCATCCAGTCGACTTACTCTGGGATCGATCCTTTTGAAGCGCAGTGAATCGTGCTTGATTGGCTTTCAACCTTTGATGCTCAAACTATTTGATACAGGACAGTTGCATGTTGAAATACAAGAGGACGAGGTCAGGAGGAGGCTGACCGCAGGATCGTGTCGATTATCGACCACAACAGTTCTGGTGCTGACGCTATCAAGAACGTAAGACGCAGTTGATGTTGACAAAGTATTGAAAATCGGTTCTGGTAGCTCGGGTGAAGTGAATTCCATTTCGCCTGTTCGCCGAGCTTAGCAATTTGTTCGCAAANCAAAAGTTTCATCACCAGCCGAGGTGACATCATCAGTGCTTGTGAAGTGGCAGTGTTGTGCTTGACCCGTTCGTTGATATATATGGTCTTCTCCATCGACTGTTGGTTGATTATTTTCACTGAAGCGAAGTCAAACTGATGTCCTTCTTGATCTTTGTGCAAGGAAATCAACGATAATGGGTCATGTCTACTAAATGCCAATTGGTGTTCGCGGATCCTTGTTGACGGAGTTCTTCCAGTTTGTCCGATATAGTGTTTTGGGTAGTTCGTGCAGTTTATTTTGCAGATAACACTATAGTTGATTTCCTTGCACGAAGATCAAGAAGGACATCAGTTTGACTTCGCTTCAGTGAAAATAATCAACCAACAGTCGATGGAGAAGACCACATATATCAACGAACGGGTCAAGCACAACACTGCCACTTCACAAACACTGATGATGTCACCTCGGCTGGTGATGAAACGTTTGCGAACAAATTGCTAAGCTCGGCGAACAGGCGAAATCGAACACAGTTGATGTACATAGATCAGCATCGATGTGCTGAATTTGCTAGAATAGCCTCATTCGAGGGAAACATAGAGGTTTGATGCAACATCCCTCAACAAACTAACTACTATGATGTGAACTCGGTAGTGAGATGTGAACTATTTTTCTATGAAATCAAAAGATGGTCACTAAAGGACCACACAAGTCCCGAAATAGAAGAATGGATGACCTCAAAAAGAGAAATGAAGTTGTCGGGTTTTCGGAATGAACGATTAAACCTAATATCGGAAGTGTGATATGACGTGCGATTCGGTAAGTCAATCTTGATTAGGTGTGATACCAAGTTTAGTTGCGTGAGCTCCGTGGAAGAAAATAAAATCGAGCTTGACAGAAAGATTCGACAGAAGTGAGTGATGTTGTCCGTTTCGGGGACCATGGCGGATATCAAATAATAACGTAATAAAGCTAGATGAGAGTAAGAAATACCTTGTCAAACGCTATTTGTTACTAGGGAAATATAAAAAAATTGGCTTAGAACAAAAACATTTTGTGTTCGAAAGAGAGGAAGAAGAAGCTATTGATATCCGAGGCTAGTGTAGTAAATAATTGAAGAAAACTCCAACAGGGTGGAGCTTATCAATCACATCATCTATTGGCTACACAGGTTGATGACATTATGAAAAAGTGTACACGATCGACCGACGCAGGAAGAGGAGACAGAGGCTCAAAACAATGTGTATATGCCATAAAGGTGGCACATTTGTCAGGCTAATCGGTGAGACTTACTTCGGAACCAACTGGCGTTTTCTTGAAATAAGTTATCTCATACAAGAAATCGTTCTTATTATTTGTTCGATGTCCCAACGTGTGACTGGCAAACGACTTAATAGTCTTCAATCGGTTATCGCTTTTCACAATGTGATATCGTGCAACGCGACATCGATAATCCTTGTCAGTCTGGAAACGCTGATACTCCGCGCGGAACTGTTCATAGCGAGACCACCCTAAACACAGCCGAATGGGAGAAAAACTGTTCAAACAGATCGCAGGAATGCCAGCTGTACTTAAGGAAATTCGTATGAAATAAAAAATGCGTGTGCAGTAATGGGTAATAGTGAAAGTGGAATTAAACATCTATTACATCGCCTTATTATGAATTAATGAAAGGCAGATTTTATTTCTATTTCAATCGCAATCATTTTTGCATCAGATCTCTCACTTCGTTTTCGGGAAGTTCGAATTTGGTTATTGAATACTCAGTTATATGTGAAAGTAAGCCAGTTACTACTAATATTCAACAAACGCTGCTTTTATGGTTCGAGCTTTGCAAAACAAAATGAAAAGAAGCTGTTTAGTTAAGATAGTATGTCGTTTAAAAAACAAAAAAGAACGGTTATCAAAATCCCAGGGAGCACTATACATCAATGGGGTAGGCAGCTTCAATGTCATTCAGTTCAATACTTGGATTTGTTCACTGGGACATTATGTACTTAGATATTTCATGTCTCAGGGTTCATTGATAGTTGAGCAGTACGTCCATGTATCTATAGGGCACCTCTCTTTAATTGTCCACAAAGGATGGTCACCAAAATAGTTAGGGTGTTGAATCGTTATTCATACGCAGGGAGACTGAAGTCGCTGGGATTATATTACAATCACTACCGGCGCATCAGAGGAGATATGATTATGGTATACCAAATAATGCAAAACCTAAGCCATCCGTGTCGCCCGCTTCTGAAATTATCACCCAACGTTCATCCTAGAGGACATGCGTTCAAACGAGTGGTCTCAGAATGCCAATCGGAATGCCGGCGTCAGTCATTCGCAGCCAGAGTGTGTTCGATCTGGAACTCTCTCCCACCGTATGTCGTCTGTGCTTCAAGCATTGAATCTTTCAAACTGAGACTCGATGTAACAATAGCATTACATCCCAGCATAAGTGAAGCTGCTTGCAGCAGTGGAAGAATCCCGTATCATGTAACATTTTACACAAGGAACTGTACGAATCACTGTCCTCTAATCACAACACGAACCTATGGGACAAGAAAAGCATGAGCTTGTAAGTTTTCCCATAATAAATCTTTGATCTTTGAATCTATGATCTTTGAAGGTCGGATGAAGAAGTTCAGTAGCACCTGACAAGTGTTTGATCAATAATTGACCCATCTACAGCTGACGAACGATTCACGCTCTGAGAGAATAAACGTGATTACAGTCGGAGCTGCCGAAACAATTCGGCTGATTCTTACTTGAATCACCAATATCAGAAGCAAAAGAATTGTTTGGGACATGGTCAAATGTGAAATGTGAAATGGTCAGTTGGAAATATTGTGATAGATGTGCAACTTAGGCTTTACGGGTGAACTCAGTTCTTTCTCCTCTCCCTAAGTGTAAGATGAATAGCATTTTAAAAACAGTGGAAAGAGTATTATAGATGACTGAGTCCCCCTGGATGTCCATTTCCGAAGATCTGTTACCTCATCGCTCAGTATCAGGACGTTTTTCTAGATTTCACATTCAACCCCTATTCAATTCTATAAACAGTCATAAATAGTTTTGGTATAACTGTGAGAATCAATTAGAACGAGTTGGTTAGTTGAAATTTGTCAACTCGTTAGAATTAAGTCCAAATCTTATCAAGTTATTACATCGAAAAGGAAACCAGATTAGGCTGAAATAAATTAATAAGAGGACAGGAAAACTAAACTAGATTCGTTGTTTCGGCCCACTCTAGTGTGGACCCTGAAAAAAAGAGCAAATGTGTCAGAACTGAAAAGTTTATCATTGGTTATGATGAATGATCGTCTATTTTTGGCCTTACCGTTTGCACCGAAACCGATAATCTTAATCGACATAAACCACTATTGCACCTAGTCCGAAAGGACTTGCAACCTGGGTTATGCTAGGGGTAAGTTAATAAAAGAATCCTTACCACACACCTCAAACCTTTGGTTTGGGCGTCCAAACAGTCTGTGGCCATCACCTTGAACGATGCACTATTAATTCACCTCATCAGCACCCTCCAGTGACTTTGACTGAGCAATCAAAGGCACAATGAAAAGCTAAAAGGTCCATTTGGACGAGTGGCGGGTAAGAATCAAACTGTTCCTAAATCATGATGAGGGACAGCTGAACAGTGCAAAGATGCAGAACAACATCTGTCTCACTGCACTAGAGAGTAGTTTTAAGTGGTTTCGGTGTTGAGTCCTTTCTCTGTACGGATGTGGCATTGTATCAAAGGAAATTTCACACACGAATTTTTCTATTATAGATGGAAACAAAGGTGAACAAACCTGATGGGACTATGAAAAATCATCGGAAATGTTGAATATGGTTTTGTTCAAATTGGATTCGAACTGCATTAGTAGCACTGGTCTGGAGAAAAGAATGAATTTGATAACCAGCACTAGCCGAATGACTGAAAAAATTGCCTCCGAAGCTGCAGGACGCTTTCCTGCTGCTGCTGTTGCTGCTGCCGCTCTGTTGTTTAGTAAGAACCAGACTTGTACTCACTAACTGAGTTTATATTGAAGAAGCTCACTAATAGTGCCACAGAAAACCGGCCGATTTATCAATTACATTAGGATTTGTGCTATATAAACTATTGGTTTTACGCGAAACCATAGTAAAGATTTAACTCTGGATTACCAAAAAGACAAGTCTTAAATTACAGTCTCCATATGCATCAATGAAATATATGTAGAAACACGGACCACCTGTTTACACCGAATGGATTGAAGTACCAGTGTAATTTCCCACTAAGGAAAGGTGAAACAAATGAAATGAGTGTTAGAAAACAAGGAATAAGCGAATGGATAACTGAACTCAGAAATTGGTACTTCACAGTATTCAGAAGACTTACAATCAAAGGCTTCATCCAGAGGTAAAATCACTGCATATTTGGTTCCGGGCTCCATGTACAAATCACATTCCTCCAACAGTTTGATAAATTCGGTGATTTTCAGCTCTTTTGCGCACTCCTTGCTCTTTTTCAAATCCTCCAGGGAGTAGGCTACAAAGAACAGTTTGTGTAAATAAGCTGACTGTTAGAAAAGGTTATTGGATATGACAGTTCGATTTCCCTGTCTGCACACCGTGTGCGCACAATCCAGTCATGGGAATCAGGGTCCGAAAATTTTCGATGGGTGCAGAGAAACCGCTGCCTACTTGTGATAGAAAGAGAAACCAAGTTGAAGATCTTGGGAAGGGTTTTTTAGTCGCCTATTTTGATAAATGTCTCTTGTTTCTTTTATACGACTGTCGGTAGAAACGAATAGGTAAACTTTACTTTCGAAAACCTTTGTGCGATCATCCGAATTGACTGTCTCGAAAATATAACTCACTTTCATTTTGTAGAGTGTTTCATCAGCAAACCAGGCTTTTCTCGATATTATGGACTTCAAAGCATGTTCAATCCTGTTGGGTCTTATTAGACGCTTCATACCGAAGCTCTTTCTTCGCAGCAACCGGGTGATAATTGGATCAAATAATGAAAATTCAACCTTTGTGTTTTCGAGTGGAATTGTACTCTTTTCAACCATAATACTTTTTATCTCAAGTAAGAATGTTTCAGGCGCGAGTACGAGGGCGTCATCGAACCATTTTTGTTCGGGTATTTTATCTCTCGCAAAAGTGGCAAATAGTGGGACAGTCGAATGCCTTCAGTGCAAGATGTGAAGGAGGGGTATCAAATTAAATAAGATAATTTGAATGAGAATCCTAATATTGGAGAATTTATTAGACCAAATATTACGTTTTACTTTTTGATATTAATTTATGGAATGGAGAGGGAGAAGTTCAACTGTCGTTCTCGGCTTGTTTATATTCATCTTAAATGTAACCCTACTGGTCTAGTAATCGAGTCTCTCGGGGAATGTTAGTGGAAATTAAGGCCAATTAACCACTCATGTTGATCACTATCAACATGGATGATTAGGGTATGCAGTCGAGACAGTCATCTGCTGGATATCGGAAAACAGTGAGATTTTGAAAGGGTTACATGCAGGGAGATAGTTGTGAAAATGTCTTTGAGATTCCACTCTAACCAATGACCCAACGGGTTCCGCAATATGGTATTGAAAACCAAGCGAATAAGTTAGTTTAGATTGGGCTGATCGAAGCAAGCGGTTAGTGAACAAACAGATGACAGAAACAAAAGGGGAACTAACCGGATACGGGGAGGATGGGTTCGTCGAGCAGATGAATCACACCGTTCGCAGCTGTCATGTCGGTCTCGACCAGTTCATGCTTTTTCCCACATGCGGATTTGACGAATCGTCGTTCGTGTGAATCGTGCGTCAGTTCACATCCAATATCCACAGGTTGTCCGTCTATGGTGTGTTGCACAGTTGAAGTGCGAACCAAGCCAGCAGAGCACACTTGTCCCGGCAGCACATGACCACTAGCGATCTGATTGACATCGGTGCACGTTATGGAGTTGGCACGAGGCAAGGCGAGTGTACACAGGGGGGGAGCGATAAACGGGGTGAAAATGAGGTTTAGAAAAAGAAGCACTCATGTGATGAAGTGAACTGGATAATAAACTTGATGAAAGGCCAATAAGGAGTAAAATCAAGCAAACATCCCTGGATATATTTACATGTACGTCATGTTAGCGCAATGCATATATGAATGAACTCAGTTATTGACCATTTCACTCACATTCAGCGTGAATGACGTCACAGTCGTGTGTTAAAATGCATTGCATCAAATGACTTTTGAAAGGCCTATTCGATTCCAGACCGCATTCATTTCGTTTGCAGCGATAGAGCATTATGTTTCGATCCCGGGTTTTCGTGCAGCAAATTCCAATCAGATTTATCGCTTGCACTCAGACGGTCACTGTGGTGAGTCAACACAGCCAGCAACCACCAGTCAAAAAGCAATCGGTTACAGTTTCCTGATTGCTGATTTTGTGGAAGCTCCTCGGATTGTTATACTACGAGTATTACAGTAATTGTTGATCTATATTTAAAACACAACTTTCTAGGCACAGATAATCTAAAACGGGCGTTCTAGTCTAATGAATTAGATTGGCTGCGCCACATTTGTGTTCGCTGTCCATTGGAATTTATTGCTTGGTTTCTGCCATTTTCTCTCGACGTTCTTATCCCAGGGAATTATTACTGCGCCTAAAGAATATTTATTATTCTTCTGTGTTATCCAACTCACATGGTTCTGCACAAACTGGATTTTCTGCTCCGAGTAAAAAACGAAAGCGTGCCAAGTGGCAGACTGAGCTTACACACGTTCCTCCTGCGAAGATGACGGTTCCCTCATTAATAAGTTTGAACATTCGTCCGCTGTTTAGCAAACTCCCTGACCTCACGGATCTAATAACTTGTCGCGTGCATACATACACACGTGTGATATGCATACAGGAGTCGTGACTCAACCAGAACATAAACGATTCTCTGGTCAACATACCTGGTTTTGCAAGTTTTCGACAAGACAGAGAGGGAAGCAAAAAGAAGTCCGGAAGCGGGGTACTAACCTACATTAACTCCAGTTGGTGCGGCAACTTTTCCTCTTACGATATTGACTGTCTAATTGTTTCATGTCAACCTAGGTTTTCCCCCTATTGGAGCACAACTACTACCAATCTCTAAATCGCCCCTCCTTGCTCACAGGTTGTAATCAGCTCTTTCTACGATGCATTTGTTCCTTTCATTGCTCCCTTAGTTGACGATAATTTAATTTTATTTGTTGCTGATTTTAATCACGGATCAAACCAACCTTGACTTTTTTTCGGTCTATCAGATCTCTGTCTAACACCCACCAGAGGAAATGCTGTTTTGGACAAGGTTATTACTAATCATCCTGATATTTTCTCTCTCAAATTGAAGGCGCCAATCTCGTCTAGTGATCACTGTCTCCAACATCTTAGATCAAAGGTTTACCCTCGGTTGGCTTACCCCGCTTTTATTCATACAAAACAAATGAACACGAAAATTCGGAATCTTTCAGCCGACAGACTCCATCACCTGAGGAGATCTCTTGCTATCATCTCTTCATGGTTTTCCGTTCAACAGTCTCCCTGTTCTGTTAGCATTTTACAGAAACAGTTAGTACGATTTTCAATCTATGCTGTCCTATGGAAACAGTTTTTTCTCACACTGGCAGAGTATGCTCTCCGCGATTAAAAGCTTCTAGAAGACAAAAAGAACTAGCGTTCAAGATGCATCAAACAGCCACTGTCAAACAGCTTACACTAGAAATCAGGTCAGAGATCAAGAGACTGAATGATTCATTCGCAAAGCTGGTTCTGGGAAATGGAGATGGAAGACGATTATGGCAAGGGATCAGATTGCTTTGCGGACAAAAGAAACGGACATCAAACAAAACTGTTGACATGGACAGCCTCAATGCTGCATTCATTTATCCTTTGAATGATCTCCTGTCTCCGTACTTCACAGATCACCTATCTACCATAGACCCAGTCACTCATGAGGAGGTCTATCATCTCCTCAAAACTACGAAAATCACGAATGCAGTTGATCCCGATGATGTACNCATTGCTCAAATATGATGCCAGCTCCGTCACAGAGGTGTTTATGCCCTTTATTAATCAATCCATTTACACGTTCGATTCCTGATTCCTGGAGACCGTCACCATTGTTCCAATTCCTAAACCCGCTTCCTCTAGCACTTTATCTAAACGCTTTTGTCCTATCGCCATCACCTCCTCTGGACTTAAGCTTGCAGAGCGCGCTATTCTCATCTGCTTGCAGTCTGGTATTATTGTTCCCAATGCCCCCCCCCAGTTTGCGTACAAGCCAAATAGATGCACCTTAGATGCCGTCTCTTCAGTGATTCACTTTATCTGCAAATCTTTAAATGATTCTCAAAAGTCTGTTCGATGTTTTCTTTGACTATTCCTCCGCTTTTGATTCCGTTCCACGATCTCTTCTTCTGCAAAATTTACAGTCGTTCGGTTGCCCCACCAACTTATTATCATGGTTAAAAGATTATTTCACAGGAAGGATTCAAAGAACCAAAGCAAACGGCACCATTTTAAAACCGTTAGTGAATAATTCTGGAGTCCTTCAGGGTGCTGTGCTCTCTCCCTTCTTATTTTCAACTTTCATCAGTGACTTACCCTCAATCCCACCGGCCAAAACTTTTAAGCAAGCAGATGATGTTGTCTTATGTCAAGCTATTTCAAACCAATCGGACATAGAATCACTTTCCGACAGTTTACTACAAGTACAATCATTCTCGAATCAATCCGGTCTCTGGTTGAATACTTCTCAATCCTTTGAATGCATTTTTAGTCTTTCTCGATCTGATTATCCCTCGGAACCTTTAGTCCTCAACTCCGTACCCGTCATCAGAACACATAGCACTATAGATAGCAATCTACGGTGGTCTTTGCATGTGCTTGCTTGTCAAGTCAAGTCAAGTCAATTAAAGCTTTATGCACCCGATAGGATGAATTTTCAGCATTTTCGACATGTTACAGTTGGGAAAAAAACGCTAAGTATCAGAAAAAGAAGAAATATACAATTACTAAATGACAAACAGACGGGTTTACGTAAAATCCTAATGTGAGAGATGATTGTTCAAGTCAGCAATAATATTTGCTCGGTTGATCAAGATGCGAGCAAAATAAGGGACCATACTGTTTCTATGTGTGGTGGTGCGTGCATGTGCATGTGCATGTGCGTGCGTGTTGGTAGACTGCGTCGCTTATCTTTTCAAGTACGCAAGCTTCATTGATTTTGCGTCAGACATGAAACTGTATGTTCCTTTGTTTATTTTTTTAAATTTTGTTTATTTATTTATTTATTTTTGTTTTGTTCATTTTTCCAATCATACTTTATTGTTCGCCCGTTGTTTTCCCTGGACTACTTATAAAGGATGTCATTACTCGACGTTGAGGTCTGGTAATTATCAGTCGTATTTCTCTTATTCCTTTAAACACTCTGATCACAAAATTGTGTAATTTGCATATCACTTCATGTGAGAATTTCGCTCATAATATACTCAATGACCCCAGTCATTCACTCAATCCCGATTTATCTGCTTGCCGTTCACACGCGCTTCAACCCGATCCAATTTTTGCTGCTTACCCTCACGCATAAACATTTGTCACAATTCAATTCCCTATATGGCTCGTTTTCTCACTGACACGGCGAGGATCCGTAACGAACTAACCTCAAGTCTACAAAGATGAACACCTTTTAGTTTTATCATTGTTGTATACGAATTTTGAATCCATTTTTTTATCCCATTATAACGGTGAACACATTTTTTGGCTGAAATATAAGCATAGTTGCCTGCACAAGTCATCTATAATACAAGGATAATAACAATAATAATACAATACAATACAGCATATGGCTACAGGGTCTGTCTGTGTGATTACCCTGTTGTTCCACCTCTTTTAGCGCCGAGCATCGAATTGACGCATCAAGAGGCTTGGCAATCCATTGATTTTGGTTTTCATGATAATGACTGGGATCTACGCTTTTAGGATCGGCAACTGTACGAGAATCGGTCAATAACTGAAATATGAATGAATATTGCAAAATCTAACACATTCGACAGTGTCATTGTGTGTCCTCGTCATTCAGCATATCTGAGATTTGCTATCACATTGATTTTGTCGGGGTGAGTGGCTACAGACCTGTGCGATCACAATGGTGATTCATTTTTGGATTTCGGAAAAGAGTATTTAAAAACAATAAATCCTCGAACCCATAAATGAGCTATGTTATTTGGTAGTTCTAAGTTAGATGTTCCGATTGTGAAACGTTAAGTAGCTTTGGTGGAAGTTGAACCCACGCATGGACGCAGCATTTACTTGAGGCAATTTTATTGTTACTCAGACAAGAATTTAGTTTTTGACAAAATAAAATATGTAAAGATCATATAGCAATCGATACACCCATGTGTTTCGGAGATGGGAATCCCCTGATTTCTTACCTGGCCAATAAGCTGAGTTGGATAGCGATTTTTGAGTGCGTTCCACGCCTGGTTACGTGGAGCAAGAACGGTGTACCGTTTACCCGAGGCTACATTTCCCAATTCGGATTTCACGGAGGATGGTAAATCTGCCGCGAATCCCCGGGTGTCCGGATAAGTTTGCAAAAAGCTCAGCACGGAACTGCGATCCACATTCGGCCCGACCGATCTACCACCCAACGGCTGAAGATTGCATTTGAACGCACACGGTGGAGCATGATAGACACAGTACGGAAAGTTGGAGGAGAAAGAATTTACAAAAAGGGAAGCACAGGAAAATTTGAATGGAACTAAAATCTGTTCCGCCGTATATGCCTTCCTTTGAGCTCGTTTCCTATTCGCCCAAGGTTCAGTGGTAATAACAAACATTCAGAAANCAGCTGGTCAAAGATCTGGGGGTACTGGTTCATTTCCAAACTGGGCAAGTAGAGGCACCCCCACCCCCAGGGAGGGCTCATCAACTGTATAACACATCATTCTGTATTTGAATTTTGTAGGGGGGGGACAGTTTTGTTAAGTTGAGTTTTCCATATGAAATCAGAAGCGCTAGTCGTGGAAAGTATTGTGCACGTGGTTTGGTTGACCGTTTGTGAGTTAATGAGCCCAATAGGTCATACGGAGTCTGAATTCGTGATGCTGTCTGGTGGTCAAAAGGATTGTACTTCTGGGGTCCGAGGTTCGATCCTCAGTTGGGTCGATGAATTTGCATCGCTGGTTTGATCCAAACATGTTGAAATAGCTGTACAGTGTTTCCTAGTAATTCAATTTACTCATCTTTGGCTCTTTAAAGGAAATTCACCAAGTAAAACGGGAAAGCATTTGACTTTAAGGTTACTGGTTCATCTCGAGAAAAATAGTCTTGATGTCGCTAAGTATAATAGTTTTAGGCGCGTCCCTACAATTTGCTCCCTTAACGACAAACAATGTTCATAGTTGTTTTATAGATATTTGAATCAATGATCTGATAACTTGGTACACGGCAAACGAAAAACGGGTTTGCTATTGGCGCAACCTAATAGGTGGTAGAGGGTGGTGAAATAGATCACACCTCGTTTAAAACATTTGGATACAACTATCATGCCAAATAAAACAACAGTAAATACAACCGCGCTGAGTGATCCGTTTACTGGAGGGCATGGTGAATCAAATTTTGTTTTAACAAAACTTCAGCAGTGACGTAAGTAGTTTACCAGACGTTCCGGTCAGTTGATTTTCGAAAGAGAAATAAAACTTTCTCTAACCTTAATCCAGGGTTCAGCATCTCTCGATTCATCAATCAATCAATTAACCAATTTATCGATCTATCTACCCGTTTATCTGAGTAAGAAAGGAAAAATAACGCCCAGTCTATCCGTACCACAAATATATCTTTTCTGGAACAGGTACGAATTCTTTAGAGGTCTTTTCGCAAGCAAAATTATTTCATTGAAACCACAATCTATGAGGCAAGAGGCTATCAATCACACGACAACTTCTTTGATATTTTATTGGTTAAACGTTTTGACAGTATGTTATGATGATACAGTTCAAAATTGGATATCTTACGAAGTAGATAACTGACCTGACGAACTTTGTGAATCAAGCCACTTCTGCATTCGAGATCCGCGTCCAACAACTCAACGCAGTCAACAGTGGTCACCTGAAAACGATAAATGCATTCACATGGAATGAAAACAACTGTTAGCTTGTCTAGAGCGAAATTTGTGGAGAAAGAACAACATTCAGTAATTTTTTTCAAATATAAAGAGTAGTTTCATTGATCACCGTTGCCATCACACTTACGCTCGTAGCCTTCCCTTGTTTAGTTCAGATGGGTTAAATACTGATGTTATGAGCCCCTACTGAGATTACGTAAGTAGTAAGAGGTAGCTGTTGGCAGACTCTTGCAATGATAAAAGCAATTGAATAGGACATTCTGCAGTAGATAAGTGGTTTTAAAAAGGTTGAAACAAAACATACGAACATGAGAACTGGCGAACTGCTATATCATAGATCCAGAGCCTTTCCTGAAACCGGGACTTAGTTATTTCAGATTATCTTCTCCTTTCTATGAAACCTGATTTACCCACTACTCATGTGATTCTTGCAATTAACAGTCAAGCATTGATCTTGTGGATCTATGATGCTGGTAGTCGGAATTCGATATTTTTTCCATGCAAAAGTTATCCTTATTCCGGAATAAGCGGTGATCCCTCGGGGGCATGATCTGTTGAGCATGATGGATGAAGGATTACGTCCTACTCCTTTAGTTTTGTCACTGTCAATTGTGCGGTGTGTAGTATATCGTTATTCAATGGTCATTGAGGTTCAAAATACTCTACTTATTTGATTTTTCTTTTTATTTAAGTGAATGAAAATAAAAATGTTTCGACTGGGGTAATCACTTTGCTTTCACCAAATGATGCAGTCGGGCATGAGTGAAAATCGGTTTTGTTTCAAGTGATTCTTTGGCACTGCAGCAAATCACAATGCTGTCTGAATGCACTTGGGATATTGATTTCAACTGAAATCCCATGAAGTGATACTATACAAGCAACGACAACAACAACAACAACTCACACCATAAGGATATTTGTTCACATGCAACTTTCGTTTTCCATCCAGTGTTTCCAGTTCCATGCCATCCTTCAAATCTTCCACATAGAATCGTCCTTTTATTACGTGCTGTTCCACCTGTAGTGGACTGGGTAGAAAACGATCGGGAGGGAGCGGGAAAGAGATAGTTAATACAACATTCTGTGATAGCACTCACTCCTGGTATCTGCATTTATCTGCTTGTGATAAATCAGTAGCTGGATACACTCCGTCTCTTCATCACATATTGAAATCTAACATCAGTAAGGACTCACCAGCCTGACACACAATTAGCTGGACTATTATTTTTGAAAAGTTGTGAGTGAGAGAAGTCCTACTTTTAAACACGCAATCCTCTAGATGTCCAATGTGTGATAAATCGAACGTTGGTAAAGGACCTCAAAAAAATGTAGGCTTTGGGCAACAAAATGTGGATAACCAAGAATGTTCTGTTGACAACAATCGACCAAATCGACCAAACATTTGATAGCACAATAAAAAAATCACTCAGAGATCAACAGATGCTCACGTACGCATGCCCTGATCCCGATGTTTTAGTATTATCGACAGCTTTCTCTACTATGTTAAATACTTCGTTACAAACTAAGTGATTTTATGGTTTAATGAACCATGAGACATTAATCCAGAATAGCGCACGTAGAAGCGCTTTATAAACGAAAAAGAGAATTCACAAATATCTAATTTTGTGCACCAATTTCGTCTGTTTTGCTTTTTTTTCTATCTTCTACATTGATAAAGTTGGCTCAGTTTTTCAGTTTTGTCACAGTTAACTCAGCTCGTTTGTGCCCTGGGGCGTTCTTATTTTCTTTTCTTTTTCATTTTTACTTCCTTTCATTGAATACACAATGATAAAATTTTTAGGACGGGGGACGCGGTCAACCAAAGGTCTGCCATACAACACACAAATAGGGAAAGTCAGGCAGTGGTGGTGGAATTCGAACACTCATCCTTCGGGATGTTAATTTGGTGACGTTACCACCGGACCACCATCGCCTGCGACCTTGCTGCTTAACAATTTTAAATTTTAGACAGATCAAAATCACTCGAGTCTCGGTAGGGGAGGAATGATGAATAGGAAAATGATAAGTTACTTTTGAATTTTTCCAGCTGTTACATTTACGCTATTCGTTCGTGAATGTCACGGTTAAGAGTGGAAAAAGGTGAAAGAAATACATGGGATACTTCACTCTATTTCGTACCCACACTTTTATTGCACATACCGATTCTTGGACTTTTTAGAAGACTGCCGGGTTTAACTATGCCCTCTTAAAATAATACGTGTGTGTAGCATTTTTGATGATAGGATGACAGTTTGGGTGAACAGTGATAGGTCGGTATTGCCTATATTTAGTTATTTGCTCACTTAGTTGAGCTGTTCAAATCATGGAATAAGCGAATACAAGACTGCTCACATAGAGATACAATAAACCACAAGCTTTATTCCGTCCCGCGACATAATTGTAATGTGCTCAAACCGATTCGTGTCCCACTAATTCATCACTGCGGTTCTGTGTAACCCCGGTATCTTCCACTGGGTTCACACCCGGAACACGAAAGGTCAGTAAATCTTCCAGTACTTACCCGTCCCCGTTTTCACCGTCTCCAACTTTCGGTGCAAAGATAGTGTACGGTTGGTCCGGATATTCTTGTTTAAGCTGGTGAACAGTGGACAGTCCCGGAGCAAACGCCGCATAATCAGCTGTCAAATATAGAGGATGCAGATGCAGATTTCAGTTACCGAAACAGCGAACGTGTTGAAAATTTTTATGAGATCTCCCGTGACCAGTGCAATAGTTGAAGGTGTGAATGATGATTGAATTAATTGTTATGAGCAATCTGATGTGGTCAGAGTTTTGGCTTGATTTACAGACAGACGATTCCAGTTGAATTTGTGGTGTCATTTTACCCATGCATCTAAACATAGACGATTCCATTTGTTACCTGTGAGAGTGGTCTCAGCTGAGACGAGAAATACTGCTGTCATCTCATTGTATTTATCTAATCACTAAGTCTGCTGAATAACTTGGTGAAGTACAATGCTTTCTCATCATCCGACAAAAAATCGAGCAGTTTCATCACAAAAATATCCCTTAACACATTTCCCACGTCAATAGGTAATTTGTCGAAGCAACTACAAGCGAGAATCTGTATTGAGCACATCAAGAACCTATATGGACCATTTAGTCATGTATAGAGCAAACAAAGCATGCAAGGACTTATATAGGAGACGAACAGAAGTATAGCTTGGAGTTAGCTAAGATGTTATCTTCCCAAGTATATGATAGACCGTTGATGAGCTGAGGACTGTGTGTATTGGATGTAACCATAAAAACGTTCTGTTAAAATTACTAATAGTTCGTCAAACAATTGACGAACTTCATATTTTTGATTTTATATTGAACAAGGGTCTCGTGCAAGCTTCCTTTTTTGAAGCCGTGAACGTGCTCCAAGTTGGGCTGCACGAACAAAGAGGAACATTCATGAACGTCTTACTCAGTGATAAATTTTCAAAATCATCGATGTTTTCAGAGTGAATGAAGTGAAACAACCGCTAAAAAAGTACATTGCATAAAAGATGAAATCTAAGATGCATTAAGACAACAAAAATATAAAAAATTGTATTCAGGTTACCAGACTGAAGCACAGTTTCCGTGCAATCATTGAACGGTGAGATCATTTTAGTACAGACCGGTGCTTTATGGCCACCGAAAGCGTAGAACATGCCCGGAGCTTCCTCAAAACCGGAACAGCATTTGTATTCAAAGGATCTTCAAAAATGAATAAATGGAAGGGAAAACACTGTTTTTTGCTGACATCTGCTCAAAGTGAGAGACCGTTTGATAGCGAGGTGAGGTTATTTGCTTTTCAATACATCAATTGTTTCGTAATTAATCACTGACGGATAAAAGGTTCACTGACCAGACAAAACAATAGGGAAAGAAGAATAAGTTATACTTTTTATAGGCTCTTCAAAGAAAGCGAAATATTTAAATCTCTAATCTGTTCCTCCTCGAATGAAGCTGTGTCTAGTAAGTGTTGCATCTCAATAGGTTTTGAATACTGATTCATTTTCGGTGGAACTATTGATCAAAATATAATAAAATAGAAATTGAGATCTAATGATGCTTTTCAACAGTCAGCCTGTTGTAATTGTAAAAGGTATTCTAATCGGTCAGTGATCTGATGAAACATCACGCTTGACGTGGATTGTAAAGTGAACCTGATATCATTTCCACATCAGTCCTGTGGTGTAACATTTCAATAATGGCTGCTGGCTGCATAATTTACTCATTTGGTCCCTCATTTCGCGGTTCAGACCGGTTCGTCGGCAGCTTGTTTTTAGGTGCATCAGACTATTTTTATTGACCAAAAGTGATGAATGCACCAGAACGATAGAATTATTTGGATGGGGACATAAACGATCATTCGGTCATTCGTGATGAGGATGAATGTCACCCCTCCTCGCTGAATGATCTATGGTTAATTGTGCAAAAGTTGACGAGAGGATAAAACGAATCATAAAATCCTCTCTGATCGGGTTTTCAGAACGAGTTATGCTATTTGGCCAGTATGAACCGGATGATGAATTTGGCGATACTGGTGCATGTACATGTTTATTGCACATAAGCCAAACATTTTTTTACAACGAAAACTTTTAAACAATGCATCGATTATGTGAATTTTCAACACTCCCACATTTTAGTAGTAAAGTGGAGTCTACATGGGGTTGGAAGTAAACACAACTTGAATGATAAACGACTATAGCTCGCGAGCTGCACCGGAACAGGATGAATAAACTTACACCGGTTTACCACACCGGTCCATCGAGTACGGATCGCATGTGCTGTGTAAGTGCGTTCCATCGGCCAGTTCCCAATAGGCACAGTAACGATATCTGGATAGAATGGGGTATGACGGACAGAAAGGGAGAATAGTCACATTTGGTAAATCCAGTTCGCAGCATTTTCACTGTAAACTCATCCAGGATTGCGGGAAGTGCAACAAAGTTAGTCGACTAAAATACAGCCGAATAAAATCTACTGCTAAATAGTACTTGATTATAGCTTTACTTAACTTGACTCACATTCAGTCAGTCATTGTCGCTTAGAATCCTAGCCACATAGTTTCGGGTTCGCCACTTTATGAGCGAAACAGGTCGTTATATTTCTGAGTAGATTTGTGCCTTAGTATGCCCCGCGTTGTTTAAAAACGAGGTATTGATCGATGCGTTTACCATTGAACTACTGTGCATCTCACGATAATGATTTGTAATGCTGTGTGCATCTCATGAAACCTCAAAGCAAACACTAGACATGAAAGGGTACCGTTAGCTTATGCTTTGAATTGATAATCGCATTTCACGTCGGTTGTGTTGACTGGATGATAGTGGAAATGTTTGCCCGAAAATTGGATTTCACGGGATATAACATGAGTGGTGGTGTTGGTCAAGCGGTTAAGGGGAACAATACATTGACATCAAGATGTTGAGTTTCAATCCCAGCACAATCGCGCAGCTTTCCCACTACCGTGCTTCCCCCAACAGCATTTGAATGATCACGGCCTTTTTCTCGAAAACTATATCTACAAGTGTGTGTTCACTAGCTGACAAAGGAAATTGAAAAGAAAAAGATAAAGGTACACTATATGTGTCAGCCCAATCGAAACTAATCGTGTGGTGACAAGCCTTCGAATGCCCCAGTAAACTTGGAAGTGAGTGTCTTGAGATGGGTCTGATAACCATTCCCTTGGACCTGAGAAAAATTCTCTTATTCCACCAAATACGACAAATAGCCTCTGCTGGGCTAGACCTTCTTACTGTCTTCCTGTGGCGAAGGTGTTTCCTATCAAAGGTTTCAGTTTACGTTTCTATTCTGTTTTTAGCACGACAAAATTCTCCATATGAACAAATTAAATCCTCCGTTTCTCTGATGTAACATCATATCTACCATTGATGAAGAATCAAACTTCAAAGGGGAATGAAGCGTGAACTGAAAAAACTAGAAAGCACTGGACAGTTGTTTCAACGTGGTTGGGTCTCATCAGCAGTGCGCATCCACCAGCCCGGATCGAACCCGGGACCCCAGAGGCAGACTGCTGCCCACTCAGCCACCGGGCAGCTAATCGGACCTATTTTTATTTTCCACTTACACAATATAGCACTACTCATCTTTGCGAGCTTGTTGCGGCCCATGGACCTCGTTCATCTCAGCACTAGCCTCCCAAGGGTTCTGAGTCGGTTGGAAACAATCACAACCTGACCACTTGTTTCATGTGAGAATAAAATTCCCCAGGATTTATTTATTTATGAGACCGCAAGTTGAGTTCATAATGATCATATAACAACTGTTTGTTCACTCCTCGGATCACTGAGATCAACTGATATGTGCAATGTATTTGGTGGACCAGAGGAGATTAAACGCATGCGCAAATCGTTTTTGAGCACACACAGGGGACCGTGCTGTGGCTAGCACCAGACAGCGAACCCGCTTTGATAATCGACCTCGAACTTTGTACAGGGGACGGGAAGCCCCGGTTCATATTGCGATTTGTTTCAGCCAGATGGAAAACCACTGTAGTCGTTAGTGACAATCGTTTCGATGTTCCGTCAAGCAGAGTGGTTTTCACGAATCCGTTCGGACTATCACTTGACCTGCGGTTCATGAACATCGTTCCATGTAATTGAGTATAAATAGAATGAGAGCACAGAGTTGCAAACTTTGTCCTTCAAACGCAAAACAATTGAACTTGACGTGAGTCATACACGAAGCTTTGATGCATAGAACGTCTTTTCAATTGCGCCGGATAATCTCCTTTGAATGATTTCAGCTGATGTGGCCTCCCTGAATGCCATAGAAATGTACACAGACTTTTTGTTAACCTTGGTGCTTTGTGAAGTGTTCTCCATGCACTGAATCATTTTGTTGATTAAACGTCCCGATTACATATTACTTTCAAAATTAGTTCTGATGCGTGCCTTCAAGGGTATACTCACTGCAGATCTTTGCCCTGTACATCAGGCAACGAACCAGGTTTCTTTTACTTTAAGCTGTACATAACTTTAAGTGTATGTATTGGTCTTTCTAGGTTATCTTTCTTTACACCAAACCATATGATCGACGAATGATGCAGACATCAAGAAACGGTAATTCGTTCTTAAATTCCATTCCAAAGGTAAACGTTATATTTGGACGCTCAGTGTTGAACGTGCTTGATAGTTCGATGTGACGTTGATCGTCGAAAATGTCACCCACGTCCCGTGTGTATAGCAAACGGATTTAGGTGGAAGATCGTAAATGAGTGTTTTATAGGTTCTTCCGCCAAAAGCGGTCCCAGAAGAGACCCCATGGCTAAGTGTTCCTTTTATCGATAGATCTCATCTTAAACGTAAGTTGAACTGCGAAGTGTGACTAGTTTGAACAGTAATTTCTCCTCACCACAAATTTAACTTCCTCTTCTGTTCATCATGTAATAGTATGTATTGAAAAACCTGTTTGGTCCGATAAGCAAAAAAGATAAATTTCTGGATTAAATGACGGTAACTGAATAGTTGCTGTGCGAACTAATGCAACTGTCTAACCAGACAAAAATGTAGTGTCATACCTTAACCTTTGTGCTGCGAATATTCGCTCGCAGCCTTTTGTTTACGCCCGATTTCTCTCCATTAGTTCATCAAATAGGTTCACAGAAGATAGTAACCATATTTCGAGTCCGTAATCTGAGGTTTATTACCTGTGCCAACTGAAAAGAATCACAACTTCTTCCACCGTTACTAATTGCCTGACGACTTAAATATTTGCCTTAAAACTCTGGTTAGAAAGTGAATTAAGTGCATATCACAAATCTATGGCGTCAACTATTCCTGTAAGTCTTGACCATTCTCAACGGAAAGAATTTTCTTGTTCATTGTACAAATATGTATCTTGCATGGACTATTGTGTTCGTTACTCGGTTTTAAATGCACCCAGTCGTTGAATATCAGATATTTTGGAATGAGCGACTATAAGGGTGATTTTGGAATGTCAACTGTGAGCCAAACTTGTCAGCGGGATTGGTGAAACTCCAATTCAAGTTGAAAAAGAGGACCTCCGACTTGCAGTTATCTAGTGAACAGATTATTAACCCTAACCGATCGTCCCTGGTTAATTGCACTGATGAACGACTGTATTCATTTCTTTGTTCAAAAATTTCCTTTAAAATCCTAAAATGGTTATTCCGCATTTTGCATTCATAAAACATACCTAATAACACAATTAATGCAGCAGGAGATAATGTAGAGCTTGGTAACGACACCAGTAACATTTTACCAT